GTTCAGTTGTGCAGGCACTGGTTTTAACGGCCATGGCCTGAATATCAGCGCCGGTGGCTATCCAACAGTGCCAGACTGCCGCCGGGTTGAATGAAGCGGTCCATGCTTTGATGCATGCGGGCGTCATCCGCCGTGGCCGCAATGCAAGGCTGACTAGAGTAGAGGGGACACATGTTCGACGTGGCGCGTTGTTTGCCTGCTTGTGGTCACTGTTGCCCATGTTGCCCGTGACCATGTGTATCCAGCAATAAGCATTTGTTTGCCCGCAGCGTGCAGTGATTGCTCCTTGCAGAAGAGAGTATTCTGATGCAAAGGATAGTGCTCAGTTGTGCAGGCACTGGTTTTAACGGCCATGGCCTGCATATCAGCGCCCCTGGCTATCCAACAGTGCCAGACTGCTGCCGGGTTTCAATGAAGCGGTCCATGCTTTGATGCATGCGGGCGTCATCCGCCGCGGCCGCAATGCAAGGCTGACTAGACTAGAGGGGACACATGCTTCGACGTGGCGCGTTGTTTGCCTCTTTGTTGGCTGGTGCTGTTGCGCACGTTGCATGTGAACATGTCTATACAGCAATAAGCATTTGTTTGCCTTCAGCGTGCAGTGATTGCTGCTTGCAGAAGCGAGTACGCTGATGCAAAGGATAGTGTTCAGTCGTGCAGGCACTGGTTTTAACGGCCACGGCCTGCATATCAGCGCTGGTGGCTATCCAACAGTGCCAGACTGCTGCCGGGTTTCAATGAAGCGGTCCATACTTTGATGCATGCGGGCGTCATCCGCCGCGGCCGCAATGCAATGCTGACTAGACTAGAGGGGACACATGCTTCGACGTGGCGCGTTGTTTGCCTCGTTGTGGGCAGGTGCTGTTGCCCATGTTGCCCGTGACCATGTCTATCCAGCAGTAAACATTTGTTTGCCCGCAGCGTGCAGGGATTGCTGCCTGCAGAAGAGAGTATGCTGGTGCAAAGAATAGGGTTCAGTTGTGCAGGCACTGGTTTTAACGGCCATGGCCTGAATATCAGCGCCATTGGCTATCCAACAGTGCCAGACTGCTGCCGGGTTTCAATGAAGCGGTCCATGCTTTGATGCATGCGGGCGTCATCCGCTGCGGCCGCAATGCAATGCTGACTAGACTAGAAGGGGCACATGCTTCGACGTGGCGCGTTGTTCGCCTTCCATTTCTACTTAGACCAGAGGGGACACATGCTTCGACGTGGCGCGTTGTTTGCCTTGTTGTGGGCTGGTGCTGTTGCCTATCTTGCCCTTGACCATGTCTATCCAGCAATAAGCATTTGTTTGCCCGAAGCGTGCAGTGACTGCTCCTTGCAGAAGAGAGTATTCTGATGCAAAGGATAGTGTTCAGTTGTGCAGGCACTGGTTTTAATGCATATCAGCGCCGGTGGCTATCCAACAGTGCCAGACTGCTGCCGGGTTTCCATGAAGCGGTCCATGCTTTGATGCATGCGGGCGTCATCCGCCTCGGCCGCAATGCAAGGCTGACTAGACTAGAGGGGACACATGCTTCGACGTGGCGCTTTGTTTGCCTCCTTGTGGTCACTGTTGCCCATGTTGCCCGTGACCATGTGTATCCAGCAATAAGCGTTTGTTTGCCCGCAGCGTGCAGTGATTGCTCCTTGCAGAAGAGAGTATTTCCGATGCAAAGGATAGTGTTCAGTTGCGCAGGCACTGGTTTTAACGGCCATGGTCTGCATATCAGCGCCACTGGTTATTTATCAGTTCCAGGCTGCCTGCTTCAATGAAGGGGTCCATGCTTTGAGGCATGGCAATTTGTTTTTGCAGAAAGAACCAGAAGCGAGTATTGTTAGGACAGCTCATGCAAGTTTGATTACTGGCCTGCCAGGGGTGCCAGGGGTGGACGAAAGCTCCATGGCAATCCGCAGCCTTTTCAGCACTTGGGATGTCAATGGACGAAGCACGTTGCATAGCTGACAAGGGCACGTATGGGCAACACCAACTAGCACAGATGATCAGGTTCTTGCCTACTTTGAGGTGGCTGTAGTCGCATGATTGTCATGCCCCCCGCAGATTCAGAGCAGCCAGCGCCTCAGTCTCACGTATGAAGCAGAAACGTTAGTTTCTTTGTTCACTGACAGTACAGCAGCTAGCTTAGAAGGGCCAACTGACTTGTCGAAGGGCCCCGTCCAGACTGAGCTTTGTCCTGTGTCCATTTGAAAACAGTGCCAATCTCCGCTCGATCCAACTTGCAGTCGAGTTGATGGCCCCCTTTGGGGATGCTGGCAGTTCTGACAAGGCTGACCTTTGGGCTGACTTGGGTGGCTCGTCCTTGTTCAGGTTGGACGCCCCCAAAATGGTGGTTTTCCTTTTGGCGTTCCTTTAAAGCCACCAAACAAGGAGTACCAACTCCTACAAACGACAGCCTCGTTAGACCCCCCAGATGTTTCAAAGGAGTACCAACTCCTAAAAACCACAGCCCCGGTAGACCAGCCACATGTAAGTGTGAAATCCGCGCTTGCTCCAATGCTCCTGAAGAACCCAAGGCGCACCTTGCTGCATGTCGAACTCGCGAAGCGAGAGGACACTTCGGTACGGGGTCTTCGAAAAAGATTCCGACGTCGGATGCCACTGCCAAGTCAACCCAGCACTTAGGAGGTACATATGGCATGGTCAAAAGACCCCTTTGACTGGGTGATGCACTCTGTTTCCCAACGAATTTGCCAACATCCGGGAGCTGGTCTCGTGTATTTTTGAGGTGTACCTCCAATATAGCACATCAGTGGCAGGATTTTGGTGAATTTGCCCCCATACCCCAACAAAGAAGGGTCGCAACTTTCGCAACTTTCGCCCCATGTGGCTTCCCAAGATACAAAATCCAGACCTCGAGGAGGACGGATTCGCCCGTGGTGGTTCTGCAAGGCTTTCGAACTGTGAGACCAAATTGGCAGTCAACCGTCGAGGTTTTTCTTCCGTGAATCGATCGCCTCGATGTGCATCGGAGTCTCCTATCAGCAGAATCATTTTGCTACAATATGCAACATTACCCGAAAGTTGCTTTTGTCTCCCTGTGGCTCTTTCTTTCTTTCTTTCTTTCTTTCTTTCTTTCTTTATTTCTTTCTTTCTCTGTTTCTTTCTTTCTTTCGTTCTTCCTTCCTTCCTTCCTTCCTTTCTTTCTTTCTTTCTTTCTTCCTTCCTTCCTTCCTTCCTTCCTTCCTTCCTTCCTTCCTTCCTTCCTTCCTTCCTTCCTTCCTTCCTTCCTTCCTTCCTTCCTTCCTTCCTCTCTCTCCCTCTCTGTTCTCACCCTGTCTGTCTCTCTCTTTCTCTTCTCTCTCTCTCTTTCTCACCCTGATTGTCTCGCTCCTTTTGTCTTCGCTCTCTCTGCTCTCTCCTCTCTCTCTCCGCTCCCTCCCTCCCTCCCTCCCTCCCTCCCTCCCTCCCTCCCTCCCTCCCTCCCTCCCTCCCTCCCTCCCTCCCTCCCTCCCTCCCTCCCTCTCTCACTCTCGTTCTCGCAAGCACACTAAAAGACTATAATTTGATGTGCTCAGAGGTCAGGACCAAGACACGACGGCGACTCCGAACCAATCGCAGCTTTCAGAAGATGCTTTGGCTTGGACATCTAAAATGCAGACACCAGAATCGATGTGACGGAAATCTGGGCCAACTTTTCTAGATTCAAGCAGCATCATCGAGAGAGTGCGACAACAAATGGATCATGGATTGTTAGTAGGTCCTGGTGTTGTAACGTGCTTCGGAATGGTGCTGCCAGCAACCTCTCTGTACATGGTCCATTTCTTATTGGCCACTCGCCTGAATGGACAAGTCTTTATCGTTTCACAGGAGTTGGGATGGTGTTTGACAGGAGCTGGCAGTTGCTTTTTTTTTCCCGCTTGTGCTCTTGACATCTTACTGTAGTTGGCCCATAGTCATCTGGCTATGGGTCAAAAATGCGTACCCAAAATGGAACCCTGGCAAAGGGAACCAAAGACTAAAACCTGCCTTCCCCCGGTGGTTGTATTTTCACCCATACCCATCTAGTCCTTCTGAATTCTTCCAGTCTTCCTGTTGTCTTTCCTGAGTCCGGTGGCCTCTCCACAGCCTGGCGCAAAGGACAACTTCTGGCTAGGCGCGGCGTCTTAGCAATTGAACGTTGCAACTCATACGCGTTCCCGCTTGAAATGCCGCTGCTGTCTCTTGGAAACAAAAGCAAACATTACTTCGCTTCCCTCCACACTCACAAACTTACGACCGATACAACAAATTCCTCCGCATCCTAGAGACTTCGACTCCAAATTCCCATCGGCCCTTTTGGACATTAAGCAAAACCAGACAGGCGAGCTGCTCTGGCGGGGTACTGGCGGGATCCACAAGCGAGCTGCTCTGGCTCGATACTGGCCGGATACTCCGGCAAGGGAGACTCGGCGGGATCCGCTTGCGAGCTACTCTGGGATATTCAGCGGGATGCTCGGCAGGATCCACTGGCAGGCTGCTCTGGTGGGATACTCGGCGGGATCCACTGGCGAGCCGCTCTGGCGGGAGACTTGGCGGGATCGGGATACTGGGCGGGATCCACTGGCCAGCTGCTCTGGCGGGATACTTGGCGGGACCCACTAGCGAGCCGCTCTGGCGGGATACTTGGCGGGGTCGGAATACTGGGCGGGATCCACTGGCCAGCTGCTCTGGCGGGATACTCGGCGGGATCCACTGGTGAGCAGCTCTGGCGTGGCGAACAGCTCTGGCGGGATACTTGGCGGGATCCACTGGCGAGCTGCTTTGGCGGGATGCTCGGCGGGATCCTCTGGCGAGCTGCTATGGCAGGATACTGGGTGGGGGCGTGGTGCAGAAGCCTTGCAAACGCGAATTCCAACATAAAATCTAACAACCCCTTCCTGTTGGGTAGGGAACAAGCAGCGTCAGCAAAAGCTTTTTCTTGGAACTGCCAGAAGCAGCAGCCACGCAGTCACCTTCCCAAAACACAGAACACGTTTTTCCTCATCAAACCAAAGCCTTCCGAAGGGGCTCCCCTTGCATGCACTTCGGAAGAGGCAGCTTCCTTTGGAATGAGAGTCGTTCGGGGCATTCGGCGTCAAGGAGACAGCGCTGGCTGAAGGTGTTTCAGTCCATGCGCAAGGCCGCGGTGGCGCGAGTCAAACTGCTACAGAGTGTTGATTCTCAATCATAACTAAGAGGAATTCAAGCCTTCGGGCGATAAACTGAATTGGTGACTAAAGCAACTTTGATGCGCGCAGGTAGCAGTTTTTGTTTGCTGCCTCTGGGAAGAGCCATCACACACATAAAGAAAATAAATATATAAAAATATATCTAGTTGGATGGTGATGTTCCCTGTGTTGCTTGCCATTTGGATCTTTGTCGAAATTTTGAGGTGGATCTTGTTCCATGCCATGACACACGGAGCAACTGCAGGAAGGACGGCATAGCTTTCCTCATGACGCGACATTGCGGCCAACAGGGATTTCTTGCCGTTAGGGAGAAAGAGTGCAGTTTGACCTCAGGATATCACAAGGATCATCGTTTTTGGGTTCATGCGCATTATTGTGAGACGTTCTTCGCCTCGGCTCTGTGCCGCTCGCATTTTTTCCGCAAACTCGTCTTCAACTCAGTGCTTTTTTCAATGCAGGTTCGAAAGTCCGCGCGGCTCCGCGTTTTTTTTCTTCTTCTCGAGTTGCCTCGTTTTTCGGCCATAGACGCCCAACGAAAAGCTCACCAATTTTCGAGATATTGTTGTGGGGGCGGGTGAGGGGGGGTTCCCCCACCGAATTACCAATGTTCATGTTTGTTTGCTGTTGCTTCTTGTTTTTTTTTCAGGGGGTTTTGTCCCCCTGTGACCAAAGAAAACAAAAAAAACATCCGCAGGCCTTGTGAATGGCCGCCGGCTCCTAGCACTGGCTGCTGTGGCCGTGTCAGTGGTGGCGTGGGGAGGAGAGACGAAGGGCTTCTGGGGTAGACTTGGGATACATTTTATACATTTTAGCAGTGACTCAAATTCAAGCAAACAATAAACTATACATTCTATAACTGGAGTCTAACTCTAATCATGGAGTTGCATGGGAGTCCCGAGACGTGGGTGGAGCAATGGGTTTTCCACCCAGGCAAAGGAGTGGGTCCGGATGCCCTTTGGAGGGCCAACGTTGTCAACCCAATATTGGAAAGGACCACTGTCATAGACTCATAGGCATCCTTTTTGATGCGAACTGGGTTGAAGAGTTGAAGGGAGTCCACTGGCAAGTCAGGTGGCTTCTGATCATTTGCCAGTATGACCCAGCTATGTTTCCTCCTTTTTCTTCTCAAACGCACATTCCAGTCAGAGTGCGTCCAACATTTATTCGCTTTGAAATCTTGACCCTTTGTGGCATGCAGGCAGGCAGGCAGGCAGGCCCACTCTTTCAGTCAAGCATTGGCTAAGCCGACATGGTCAGGATTTCCCTTGGTGATGTTGTTTCTGAGTTGCGTATGTTTAATATTTCCTGCTGGAGGTGGACATCTGCAAAAAAAGGAAGTAGTAGGTTTGCGGAAGGTTTCTCAGACGGAAGCGACGTGGTTGATTTGCTCTTTCCACAGTCACATTATGCTGTTGCGTTTGAGGGCACGAGGAGGCACAAAGAGATGCTAGCTAGAAGCGCTCCTTGGGCGCGTTTTTTGACAAGCACGGCGCGTTTATTAGAAACTCATACACACGACCTCGCGGAAGCTACCTTTCTCAGTTTCCAGAAGCAACTTGCACGTGCGTAAGCACTATAGCAACACGCTCGCGGAAGGTACCCACCGCGGAAAGTTTCGCGGAAGGGGCCCATACTTCCATCCAAATTTCGAAGGAACAACTCAGCCGGGGTTTGCCTCGATTAAGAATGAAGGGAACCTAGTCGCATGCTGGCACACGTTTCGAGGGGCCTTCGAGTCAGGACCGACTTCATGCTGAAGGCAGCCACACACACACACACAGTATCTGCACATATTTTTCCATACATTCAAAGAAACGTTGAGGTCACCTGGCAGAACACCACCTCAGAAAGTCACCTGACCCAGCTTTCCAGTTTCAATCCGCCAAGCACAGGAAAGGCTGGAAGGCAAATTCACTCACGCCCAAAAAGACTGGAAAGCGCAACTGGCGGCGAAAAAGCCGCGGGAGCCGTCGAGTCCCGGATCGATGAGCCGCTTGAGGAGTCCACTGGTACCACGCCTGGCTCACTCCAGGCGGGAGGGACCCAGAGCGAACTGCCCAAGGTCTGATTTCATGGGGGTCAGGCAAAAAGCATATGGGTGGCTCGTTATTTTTTGTGGGACCCCCCCCAAAATGGTGGTTTCCTGTGTGGTTTCCCTTTTAACGCCATAAAAAGAAGGGGTACCCTCAAAAAAGACACCCAAGTCTTGATCATGATGCTTCTTGTGTTGCAAGCCAATTCAAGCCTCAAGCTGCCCGCAGCTCGGCACCCCAGTGCTACTCTTCTACTACGTGCAACGCCATCAGCCGGATGTCGCTATGGCTGTCACCGGAGACAGTGGAACGAAGAACTGCTTTGACGCTGCATCTTTGTGCTGCGCTCATGCGAAGGATAGCCCTGACCCTCAGTCTCAAGCCCCGAAACAAGCGAAGCGCGCCAAACAAATGCTTGACTGAGCCGGGTGCAGTTTGTGGAAGGTTTGTGTATTTTCGCTCGCCAGGCAGCAACGACACGACCAGGACCGCGGAAGATTGAGGAAGTGTTCTCAGTGGTCAGTACTGGTGGCTACTAAAGAAGTCTTGGGATTTTCTAATGTCGTACTTGCATACCCGAAGTGAACAATCATACCAACTACCCACAATTCACGAGAACTGCTTTGGGCTATTGGCCGAACACAACCCCTTGGTAGGGATGTCCGCTCTTTCCAAGTCGCTGCAGATGTGTTTTCCTAAGATCTCCTGATATGTTTCGCAGTGAGGCTCGCAACATGGGCATTGAGGCTACAGATCAGCATCTTCAGAGGTCCCCTCCGCCCATGGTTTAGCTTTGGATTTGAACCCCTGGTTCTTGTGGAAGGCAAATGGGAACTCCTGAACCAAACCACCAGGCTCCAAACCACCAATTAAAGGGAAGCTGAATCAAGGTGGAGATCATCAGATCCCTTCTCCCCACCGCAGGATGGAGGAAGTGCAATCGACCACGCCGCCGAAGTTTTGGCTGATGTGTCTGGGCACCCCAGAAAACTTCACCCGAGTCCTTCAGCAGGCTGCGGCTTTTGGGCAGATTGGTGTCGGGTTTTCACGCTGTTATTGTTTTTCATGCCCATGCTTTGACTGAGAGTTCACGAACATGGACTACTCAAACAGCAACATTTGGTGTTGTGGTAGTGTTTTTGTTTTAGGGGTACCTTCTTCTTGTGGTAGAGGAAAGCCAACAACAAAAGCGAAGCCATTTTGGGGGGCCCAACCTTTAGAAAAGAAATCCCCTCAATTGGGTTGGGTTGGATCCCCAGCTTCCTAAAGCGAGACAACGAGGGCTTCAGGAATTGAGGGCTTCAGAAATTTATGGTTCTCCGGTAGAGTCCCTCCATTTCAAGTTCCTCATAGCATTCCCTCAGCTTTTTAAGGGACGAGTGACGTTTTGCTGCTTGTAGAAAAAACATGCCATCAGTTTCTCAGGCCGGCGGCCTAGGTGCCGTGAAAAATTCCAAAAGGGACCTTTTCTGGCTCTTTATCATGATCAGAATCGCAGGAGTTTGGAATCCTGGCCACTTGCATGGCTTACACTTCGGCTCCAGACTGCGCATGTTCATACCTCCCCCGCCAATCGTTTTTTTTGTTCTGTGGCGCACCTGACAAAGTACCGAGAAGCCGCAAGGCACATGCATTTTCTCCAGTGCAGGGGGCATCACGGAGAGGCTTTCCCTTGAACACAGCTGGGCTCGTTCTGGAGAGCCCTGAAAGCCAAAATAGGGACCCCCCAACGGAAACAATGGTTGTTTCCCCTTCAAGACAGTCAGGTTGCTTCCTGAAAATGTTTGGGTGTTCTTTTGGATTTGCTGGAAACCAAGCGGTGGCATCTCCTATTCTGACAAGCCCCAACGGTTGACCAAAGGCGATATGCAATGAGAGCGGCATTCAATTTTTGACACAGCATGCAGAGTCGGAGGTTCTATGTAAAATTGCTCCACTCGCAAGCTGAAGCCAACCCCAAGAATTTTCATTGGACAGCCAGTATAGCGCTACTCAACTTGTGGGTATACCTTGGGGGGTGCCCCGAGCACTAACATTTTTTTTTTTTTTAATATATTTATTTATTTTATACGTAATAATTTGTGCTCACTGTTCGTGGTCCGGGGCTGGACCCAGGGTATACCCCGTTTCCCCGTGGGGTCGTGGTTTTCGTCATTGAAGTCCGTTCGGCATGGTGCTCGTTGCATCGGAAAGCTCTGGCCTGTGCCGCCGCAGGCCCGGACGACGGGGATTGCGTTTGGTTCAGGAAGCCGCACGGTTGCAGTCAGATCGGGGGGACGCTCAAGACCCTGCCAGCAAGAACGGCCCCATACCACTCTCAAATTCACCTGAGGTTACATGAACCACCCCACTTTTTCTGACCGGAGCCCCAGAAACAGCCAGAGCGTCCTCCATTTCCCTTGTTGCAGCCAAACGTGGCCGTTTCAAGAGGAAGCACCGGTCAATTGGATCTCCCAGTGAGTGACCCCAGCAGTGACCCCACTGTTCAGTGTGGAGACAGCGGAGTTGCTCGGGAAATTCCCTTCATTCACGGGACTGCACTGGAAGCCGTATGGCCATTGTTTTTGGGACGGAAGCCGCATTTGGATTGTTCTGGCCGGGGGCCGTATTTGACCGCATGCAGCCCGTATTTTCTCAACAAAATGTTGACTAAACAGCTGACAGTGTGGCCATTTATTGTGGCCCCAGCCGTATGGACTGAAAAAAACGTCACATATGGGTTTCCAGGTAATGCAAGGTAAGATGCAACGTGTGGTCGTTTGGTGATGCAAGGAAACTTTTAGCGCTCTCCCTGATTTGCCATTGCATTGTCTTTGGTACCTGCTTCCTGTTGATTCCAAAGGCGGTGCATGGTTGACAGAATCGGGCAATCTCTCCCCCCGCTCCCAATAGTCTGCCAAGCATTATTTTGTACGGCCCACTTCACAATCCCAAGCCTTGGCTGAGGCCGGGCGGGGAATTCATCTACAAGATGCTGGCGAGAAACCCATGGGATGTGGCCTGGGAAATTGATGACACAGCCAGTGCCCTAGACTTCGAAGGGTGCGGATCAGTTGGCTGGCTGTTCACACATTCGTGCAAGGCTGTGTGTGTGTGTGTGTGTGAGAGTTTGTGTCGAAATGCCCCCCTGTCTCCTTCCCTTGCCCAGTTCGTTTTAAGCACCTTTTTCATTTTTTTGTACGTAGAGTTGAAGAGTTTACCTTCGGCACAAAGGTTTACTGATTGATTGACGGGAGGTTGGCGTGGCGCTTCCAGCGGGACCGATCCGCAGCCCCTGAAAAATGGAGTCGGGGGATGTCCCCTGGATTTGCATTTGTAGCTCACTTTTCCTTCTGCGGGGGGCAACAAGCAAATTGCGGAAATTGGAGAACCCCCCTCCCCACCAATCCCCAAGACGGGTTGTATCTGACGCGGTTTCTGGGATGCTTGAAGGGCGAGACCTGCCGAAAGCCAAAGCACCTTCCTTCAGCTGCCCAAAGGGTTAGGAGCGGGAGGGCACCTTGGCCGAGACGGAGAGGTCGAGGAGGACATGGCATGGGTGCCAAGAAGGTGAGAACGATGCACACGAGGATCGGTGGGCTGGACGGGGAGACGTGGAGAGCAGCCAGAGGAGTGAGCAGTGTGCAGGCATGGCCCACGGCGACGTTGAAGAACATTGGAGCTCAGAAGGAAGGTCCGGAAGGAATCATCCTCCGGGCCGGCAATGAGGCTTCAACCAACGGCGACCTTGGTCCTCGCTCCACCTAAGTGGAAGGTGGAGCCCGTGAAGAAGTGGCACCTACACTGAAAAACAGCTGCGATTCTCATCCTTACACAGGCCTAACTCCACCAAAAGCTTCGGCAGGCCATCCGCTCGCCCTTCCGGAGATGTCAAGTCCGCCCAAGTGTTTTCCGCACATCCCCTTGCGCTTCGCCTTTTTCCCAGTCACCACCTCCGCCAGGGCAGGGAAGAGCCTCCCACCGTCCGGGCCTTGCCCTTCCCTGCACACTCGGGCCTCAATCCACGAAGCCCTTCCCTCCACACTCCTGTCCTGGCCCGAGGCATACGAGCTGTCCGCGAACGCCTCAACCGTGTGGGGCTCTTCAATCCAGGGCCTTCCCTCGGCCCCTTCCGTCCGCGATCCAGCGTGCCCCAGCCTTGGCCTTGCGCACCACGCCGGCTCCCGTCTGAGTCCAGCTCATGGCCACTGCCCCGATGTCTTGTTTTGGACTCCTGGACCTCGAAGCCACAGAAAGGAGGTCCCAGGGATTTGAGGCCTCAGGCTTTGCACGCCGTTGAATAGCGCGGTGACAGAAGCACTAAGAGCGCCAGGGGGAGCCCGTTCGCTGGGGTAGCCCTTGTTGACAAGACCCCAAGAAATCAATACGCGTGAAAAAACAACAAACACGGGCCTTTTCTTTGGGTGTCTGGATTGCGCAACCCGTGACCTTGATGACCTTGATGACCTTTAGAGATCGCAAACATATGTCAAAGCCCAGTTTTGGCCTTGCAGGCAAGTTGTGGTTTTTTAGACGTTGCTAGTGCTCCAAATGAAGCCGCTCCGCAGTGGGAATTACAGGCGAGGCCTGACGCTGAGGCAAGTCATTTGAACGGCGTGCCACAGGCCGGCCGCTCCCTACTGGTCAATGTGTGCGCTGGTCTTTGCAGGGGGAGGTCAAAGGACCCATATGCTTCGTGGACCGGCGCCATGTGTTTGCAAACCGGCGCACGGTGTCTGTGTGAGTCCTGTTTTGATCAGCCCTGAGCATGAGTAGTTGGACTGTTGCGCGTGAAAGCTGTCAGAAGCTCGCTTGCCCTGTTTGTTTGGCACATAGGCTCGCCGGGAATGCTAGGGGTCCTTTTGCCCATTTGCAGGAAATCGTTCCTTCCTTGAATCTGGAAACCTGAGATAGATGTTGTGTTAGCAAGCCTGTTTGATTGGAGGCAAGCTCTTTTTTTTCCTTCCCCCCAATATGTTGCTTCTTTGTACAACCAATTTTCCTCGTACAGAAAGAAAGATCTGACATAGAGGCCGTATTAAAAGAATAAAACAAAAAAACTACCAGCGCTGGTTTCGTGCCCCCCGAATACGGTCGATGTTTGTGTAACGCAATTTCAGACCCGGGGAGTCCGGCTTCAGAGTCGATGACAGGCATTTGAGTTGGCCAGCTTGGGTGGATGCATCCAAGAATTGCTTGACTCTTCGGGAATTCAATTGAAAGGCCGTTGATTCTTCAGCCATGTTAGTGATTTCAAGGGTTTCCTAGTGTTGGTGATTCGTAGTGATGCAACAAAGTTGATTGAGGCTTGTGACTTCTAGTGACCCTTACCTCCTTTGAGGCTTGAGATGTTGTCCGACTTTTGGTTTCAACAGTCGAGGCCCATGCAAATGGCTGGTTTCATTTGGGAGTTATCTTCCGGGCGCCAATGAACCAAATCGGGCACCAACTTATTCTAACCTCTCTACTGGAGGACCTAGCCTAAATCCTATGTTTCGGTCTAGCATCGACAGATCTTGGCGTGGAAAACCGCCCCCAGGAGGCCTGGGATGCAGTGCGCACTGCCTGGCTGCGGCAGAGGGGGGCCTAGCTTGGGCAGGTCGCTGGCATGTGTGGAAGGCGTCACTTCGTCCCTCCTCCCACCTTTTCGATTTGGCCCACGTTGGCAGGGCAGGTGAATTAGCACCAAACCACACCAGAGTCCTTTCTGCGAGGCTTGATAGACATGATACTGCTTTTTTGTTGGGAAGGCGAGGGTGGGCAAGAAGCAGATTTGTCAAGCTTTTGGCCGGTCAGGCAAAGAGTCTGAGTCTGGGAGGAACACATCCGATGTGGTTGGAGCCATACACGGAAGAAGCACATTTTGAAGCCCGCCTCCTTCACGAAAATATTATACTTTGGTTGTTCTTAAACTGGACACTATAGAGTGAACCATTTTTTTGGCTCAGCCCTGAGGTAGAGCCTTTTTTTTGCTTGCTCGAACGATGAACGATCAAGAAGTGCGGCTTAGCAGACCGTTGCTTGACAGTCAGGAGGCGGTATTCATCTGGTGGCAAGGAAGAACTTTTTTTTGTTTAAGGACAATGCGCCCTGTTCAGCTTTTGATCCGAATTGTGTCGGAGTCCTCATTTCTTGACTTTGGACAACATATGCCCAGTGGTGCAGGTTGTTCCCAACAGGTTTAAGCAAAAGGTTGGCCCGGTGTGCTGATTCCTTCGTGGGGTAGATCGTCGATTCGTTCGTTTGGCCTTTCGAGTCGTTCGGCCAAAGGACAAGCAGTTAGGAGCAAATCCGAAGAGATCCGCAGGGCCCTGCACGCCACGTCTGGAAGTGTCGTCTTTGGCCCGTTTGACCTACCACATTTTGCAGCCCCAGGCCGCCGGTCTTCGAAGGAAGACCGGTGTCGATGCAGGAGACTGGTTCACAGGTACAGGTTGTCGTTGGAAGCTTTGGAGTGACATGCTTCATGGGGATCCGCTTGAGTCATGCTTGGAGTCGCGTTCCCCTGGCGGACTAGTAGGGGTGTTCCTTTTACAAAGAGAAAGGATCACCATGTAGCTAGGAGTTCTAATAGGGAACTACCTCGAAATTGGTTGGCGGGCATGACTCCCCAATGGTGTCCACCGAATCAAGTTTCATGCACTTCAATGGATGCCATGGTCACTGGCCATAAGCTGAACAAGTGAGAACACCCCAGTTAAACGACGGTTAGTGGCAGTGGACAAAGATTCATGGCCCGTGCGGGAGTTTTCTCCCGATGCCGGCCTCAAAAAAGCTGGTCTCGGGTCCGGAAAGGTCGCGTTCAGGTTGAAGAAGTTCCGGCAGGCCACGTTTCCACGCAGTTTTATGGGGGCTGCCAAGAAGTCGATCAAACTGGCCCTCTGGACATCCCCCTGCGTTCAGCTGATGTCTCGTTTTGCCATGGGCAGCTTCAGAGTTGCTGCATAGATCCAACCAATCTCCACCCAGGGGGCCAACAACTGGGTTTGTGTCAAGATCTTCCTTTTGCTTTTCCGAATCAACCAACCAACCAAAAAGGGTTGCCGCCAAGCAACAGACCCACAGAAGGACAACTCTCGATCGTTTTCTTATGCGCACCAACAAAAACGCCAGCAAAATCCCACAAAATCCCGCATCGGATCCGACCCAAGAGCATCCAATTTCAAACCCAAAGGATTCTCTCGGGTCTGGGAGGACTTGGCCAACTTCATGCGCGAGACCTTGCGGCGGGATCCCTTCTGGACGGGTGGCCAGAAGGTCCCCTGGGTCGACCTCCGCAAAGGCGCGGCACATGCGGCGGACGGCTGGGGAGTCCAGTCGGAAGGCACCCGTGGGATGCGTCGGATTGTTTTTGAGTGGATACCCCCGCCGGTTGGTTTTTTTTTTTTGCCAGGTTCTAAAGGGAAACCAAAAGGAAGCCGAACTATGATTCTGGGGTCTGCTGGAAAAAGATGCCGCACATGACATGGATGTTGTCTGTATGTTGACCCTGGATTGAGCAGAAGCCCTGGTTCAGGCCACTGGAAGGAACCACCCCCCAATAGGATGGGTTGAGAGATCCGGAGTGAACATTACCACAGCCGACTTTTCAGCCTTTTGGTTTCCTTTGGGGAATATTTTGTCAAAAAAGGTGGGTAAATTTCCCCCCCTCACGAGGAACATTGAGCTTCCAGGCCAGGTACCCTCACAGGTGGCAGGACAGTGGAGCCAACCAAGCCAACCAGCAAAAGAGAGGCGTCGCAAGTTCAAGGTGAGGGGCGGGTAGGGCGGGATGTGGCCGTTGGATTTCAGTTGCGAAGGTTGGGACCGGCTGGTAGGCAACCAGATGAGACAGCTGAAGAAGCATTGCTCGAATGGCCCTTTCCTGTCATTTGTTCCTGACCCTTATGAAATGAACGTAACCTGCTGGTTGAATGTGCATGTACTGCGACATGACTTGGCAGCTTCACTTTCAAGCGGCTCCACTTGGAAACACCCCATGCCTCAGCAGATCCCGTGTTTCCGTTATGCATTTGATTTACCGGGCATCGGCTTTCAACATGCTGTGCCCGCTTAGCTATCTCTCCGATGGCTTGAGTGACACACCATGGCATGTTGTTGCGCACGTGGTTCCCGGTCTTCCCCCGACCTTTAAGTTCTACACCCGCGGAATCCATTGACTCAAGAAGATTTGGTATTCCACTTGTTGGGGGGTTTGTTCTCTATCAAGGGTCTTGGCTTTTGCCATTGTCTAACATCATATAATGGTACTGGCTGGGCAGCGTGACCATACCTAGAAGGCTCTTTGCATGATTGAGGGTTGTCAGTTTCCCGCCGGCACAAGCTTTAATGCTACCGACCAGTATCCCCCCTCCCCAACGGCGGATCTTCCCATGGCCCAGAACCCTTGTACGGTCCGACAGAAAGCAGTGCTTGGCGGGTGCTGGAAGTTGTCTTTGGCTCTGCGGGAAACTGTGCATTTTCTCACTCAGACAAGCATCAACAAAAAAAGCGGGGAGGCAAGCGCCCGCAAATCCCGGGATGGCTTTGGTCTCCTTTTGGCTTTCCCTTAAGACCACCAAACAGGGGCACCCACCCCAAAAGGGAAAAGACAATTCCACATGCACCATCCTGGGGTGACCTTTGGCCCGTCAGGCGGAGGAGGTACTGTGCACAGCAGCCGGAAGGAGACGCCCTCAGCATGAGAGACTTTCGGCCGTGGCAAGCTGTTGGCCGTTGGACTTCCAATGTGCTTGAAGTTACTTGACTCATTGGGCATCGTTTAGGTCAGTGTACTGAGATTTGGATTGCCTAGTTGACGCTTCTTTCCTGGTTGCTTCAATGAAGGTGATCAAGCAACAGATCCGCTGACGGGTCCCTGTGGTTGCCAGGTGATTCTAGCCGTCTGGGTTTGCGTTTTGACGCTCTTGTGCAGAAACTGAAGAGGGTTCTTGAAGAGGGCTTCTACTGCGGTCTCTGCCCAGGTGGGCTTTGGAGGGTTTTAGGGGGTTCTGGGGCTGTTGGGGATACCTTATTTTTTCAAAGCGGGTTATAGGGGGCTTAAAGAGAAATCGCTGTGCAATGCCCGGGCACCAATTTGCTGGAAAACAAGATGAAAGTGTTGGGTCACTGTGAATCGTATCCCTCAGGTTGTGCTGACTGAACAGGTACGACTTTGTGAGGACGTGGCCTTGATTTGTTATATTCCTAGCCTAATCTGTGTGTTTCCTACCTCTCAGATAGTCGTATTGCGTGTGTCAGAATTGACCAGCCAAAGTCCTACTTTGGTTGGTCCCTGCGGCCACTTGGATTTGCATGTGAACCCTGAACACGCCTTTGGCAGTCGATGCTTGTCTCAGTGGCCGCCGGCCCGTTCAAGCTGCGCACGTCGAACGCGTCAGCGCAGTCCGCTGTTGGGTTCTTCTACCCAGCGGTAGATGTGGTCACCGGTCCTGCGTCGCTCAGTGGTGTTCGATTCGTCCAAAGGGGGCCGAAAGGGGATGTCTGTTCTGTTCTCGACGTTCAGAGCCGCCATTTGGCGCTTTGGCGCGGGGTGTAGGATTACTTGGCTTTGCCTTCGGCCACGGAACGCGAGCCACTTCAAAGTGATTGGCCTGGTGCCCGCATTTGACTCTCCTGGACTACTAAACCAGCGGAGCAAACTGCCTTCGGACTTCCCACACCTGAAATTTGGGCTTTCCCCCTCCCACCGCAGGGTAGTTTTGCTATATGGCTGCAATTGCCCTACGTTGGCCCCTCCCCATGTTGGGTGTGATTGCTCTGCCTATTATTGTTTGTTGTTGTTTGTGTGTTTTTCTTCAGCTGAGGCAGTGATCCTGAACCAGCGACAGCTGGCCTTTTTGGTGGTGAACAGCCTCATGGGCAACAAGCTGATGGGTGTTGAGACAGGCCGATTCCGGGCCAGGTCTGTACAAGCTTTTGTTTCTGTTGGCCAGTCAAACAGGTAACAGAAGGCGCCTTGCGGAGAATGTCCACGCTCAGCGTTGCAAATAACCAGACCAGAAATGCAGTATTCCGCAAGGCGCTCGATGTTTGTATCTTGATGCAATGGGGAAGGAACCTGAAGCATGTTATTCGCTGTGTGCGACCTGAACGACAGCTGCTCCCATGCGAGTTTGGCAGTTGCACATTTGTGTGTGCGTGTGTGTCTCTCTATGTGTTTTGTTGTGTTGTATATTTGTTGTATGTGTATGTGTATGTGTATGTGTATGTGTATGTGTATGTGTATGTGTATGTGTATGTGTATGTGTATGTGTATGTGTATGTGTATGTGTATGTGTTTTGTTGTGTTGTATATTTGTTGTATGTGTATGTGTATGTGTATGTGTATGTGTATGTGTATGTGTATGTGTATGTGTTTTGTTGTGTTGTATATGTGTTGTATGTGTATGTGTATGTGTATGTGTATGTGTATGTGTATGTGTATGTGTATGTGTATGTGTATGTGTTTTGTTGTGTTGTATATTTGTTGTATGTGTATGTGTATGTGTATGTGTATGTGTATGTGTATGTGTATGTGTATGTGTATGTGTATGTGTATGTGTATGTGTATGTGTATGTATGCTTGCCTTCGGTATCCTTGATAGTCGGGCCTTCAAGACCAGGGCAGGCACGCAAATGCAGTCAATGGGCTGACGCTTCAGCTTCATTGCAGTCGTCTTTCTCGAGCTGCGAAATTACCACGGAAGTGCTGTGAAGAACTTTGCGGGAATTGCCCTTGCCAGAATGTTCGATCAGCAATTGTTTGGCGAGCTTCCCCCCAAGAAGCGATGAGAGGTGTTTGTGCCCAAGTTACTTAGTCAGCCATTGGCCCGCTAATCGTGCCATCCACTTTGCTAGCGGGTGATCTCGGCCAGGCTTGGATGCAGCCATTCAGCGGTGCAACAAGAAGCCAGATTGGCCAGGTGGGAGAAAGGGTCCTTCAGACCTTCAGGTGGTTCCTTTCGGTCGGCTTCAGTTGAGTGTTGCAATCTGTGCAACTCGGGTTAGGTGGAGCCATGTGCATGAGGTGGGGTGCGGTCAAGAGTGAGCTTTGGTCAGACCCTAGAGGATCCATTCAGCCTATGGCCTTCACAAGATGGTCCGGGATGTTTGCTTCGAATCTCGCGCTATAGACGCTAATTCGAGCTGCGCAGGGTGCCATGTCGCGGTTCGGAGGGAGGATCTGCTTTCGGCAATCTTGCGACCCATGTTCATGCGGAAACCAAGCATCAGGGGCGAAAAACGTTCCAAGGCGGGCTTGTCCTTTTGACCTTCGACAATTCACCCCCAGAGACCAGAAACGGGCGACCCTTCAAATCCCGGTGGCGCCCCGCTGGTATGTAAACTAGGGGGCGAGCAACGTTCCAAAGGCTGCGTCATTCTTTTGGACCTTTCGAACCAACCCCGACCAGAGACGAGAACACCGTTTTGCCCCATTAGGTTGTCCTTGTTGACCTTTCGAACCCTCCAAAACCAAAAGAGAGACGGGCGACCCTTTCAAAACCGGCGGTTTTCCCCGGACTTTTCCCCGGACCTTCCCGCCCTCCGCGCGCCTCCGCCCTCTGCGGCTACATGCGGAAGCTGCGGCGGAAGCCGCGGCCAGGTCTGACGCAGGACACGCTGCACTCGCTGCTGGCCTTCCTCGCGGTGCTGTCCCGGGAGCTCACGAACTGGGCGCGGGATCCGATCCGATCCGTCAGAGGAAAAGAAAGGATGTGGGTGTCCGCCTTGGTTGGTGGTGTTAAAGGAAAACACGGGAAACACCCACACTGGTGGGTTCCAAAACAATGGACAACCACCATTTCTAGTTCCCAAAACAATGGAACACCACTAGTTTTTGTTCCAAAACCAGGGAGAGCCACCATGTTTAGTTCCAAAACAAGGGAAACACAAAACACATTTTTTTGTTCGACCAGCTGAAAGCGATGGGGTCGCCCAGATCGGCTTGGGGGTGGTCCGGGGTGGTTCCACGAGAGTTCCGTGAGGGTTCCAAAAACCAAGTATTCTTCAGGGCTGCCTGTTTTAAGGCAACCCTCGAATGGTCTAGACAAAATGCAGAATTCCGCACACCACGTGGTTCAACATTGTCGTTGAGAGTTCGCTAGCTTCAAGAGATGTGAACCGCAGTGATGACGCCGCACGGGCGGTATGGGTACGGGTACGAGATTTGGGTGCGGTGTGCGGTGCGGTGTGCGGTGCGGACCGAATCAGCGGCTGAAAATCCAGAACTAGCGGCAGAACCTGCCGCTTGACATACGGTTCGAAGTTTAGGAATCCGCCGCGCCGCTCCTCCCTTTTGCTCGTAGTGCTTCCGTCTTAGGCAGAAGTAGGATTGTGGTAGGAGGGAAATCCTCCTACCTGATGATCAGGAGTTGCAGCCCCGGCATTGCTTGCCGGGGCTGCGACCAGTGGAGGGTCTCCTCGCAGGGAGCTTCCAGGCACTGCGGGGTCTGCCGGGGGCTCGGGGCATTGAGGAGTCTCTGCCTCGACCCCCGGCTGTCGGCGCCATCTGATTTGAGTGCCCTTTTGGAGATTCTCCAGGGCGCTCAAAGCCAGGTGCTGGTGCTCCTTGAGCAGAAGGGAGCCAGCAGCCGACGGGAGCCTAGCCGATCTCCTCTCGTAGGGAGGTTCGGGAAGGATCTCCTCGAAGGGAGGTCATCAGGCCGACCCGCAGTGAGTGGCGGCCGTCTCTTAGAGAGAGAGACGAGGCCCGGGTGCAGAGAGAGATCCTCTCTACTGCAACCCCAAAGAGCAGCTCCAGTGCTCGTGTGCCGCCACCTGTTCCTCCTAGAAGGGAGGACAGGAGTGCCGAAAGACCAGAGGCTGAGCGTCTGGTCCTGGCCCCAGCCGAGGCGAAGAGGAGGCCTGTGGAGCCCGCCTATCCCCCTCCGAGGTGGGAGGGTGGAAAGGAAAAGGGCAAGGGCAAAGGCAAGGTTAAGGGCAAGAGCCCAAAGGGCAAAGGAGAAGGAGCTTGGCCCAAGAGGAGCAAAGGAGTTAAGCACCGCAGTCGTCAGGAGCGGTGGTGGGCCGAGGGTGGCCCGGGCTACGAGCGTGCAAGGGAGAGATCTCGGTCTCCTAGGAGCAGTGAGGTTGAGGAGGTAAAGGAGGACACAGCCGCCCAGGAGGAGCGTGAGGAGGAGGAGTTCCGTGCGTTGGACCTCTTGGGAGATCGCCGCCCCAGGGGGGAGGAGGAGATCGAGCGGGACTTGGAGTTGGAGGAGGCAGAGGAAGTGCTTCCCGGCATCAGGAGGCCGGTTCCCTTGGAAGGGGAGTCGCAGGCTGAGGCCTGGGCCAGGAAAGGACGCTCGCTTGAGGTCCTGAGCGATTTGGATTAGGTAGAACTCCGAGGGGAACCTCGCCGGAGCCCGCCAGAGGCTTAGTGTGGGATGCCAGTGCGACGCCCTGCTGCAAAGGTCGTGTTAAGGAAGCCAGCTGCTAAACTCCCCGTCAAAAAGAGCCCAAAGCTCAACAAGGAGCTTGAAAGGCCTGGTATCCTTAAGAAAAGCCGGGGCGGCAAGAGCCCCAAGGAAGCTGAGATTGAGAATCCATTCCTTCCTTTTTGACTCAGGTGCCATTTGGATTGGATCGCAGTTGCATTTGAAGGGAACTTATTGCAACAACCCTGTGGAGGTAGTAGGTGAGATCACTGCACGGTTTGAGGATTCCAGTGGTAACTACCTTAAATTGCAGGTATGTGGGAGCCCTCATCTTCACGTCCAAGAGTACGTGCATGGAGCAATCCGGGCCGGGCTAGCAGGAGAGTTGTTTATACCAGAGGGAGTGATGAAGGTTCCAGCCCGGGGACCGGAGTTTTTCCACCCCGTTCTGATGAAAGAGCCAGATCCTGCGTTGCCCTGGTGCCGAAATCTAGTGGTAGGAAGCAGCCCGACTCCTGGAGAGGGAGATCTAGGTCAGTTGCATCAAGCCGCCGAAGCCATGGGTTTCAGCCAAAATCCGATGCCCCAGGCCCCGCCGAGCGCTCCTCGATTGGGAGCAGGCCAGCCAGATCCTTTGCAGGACCGGGACGGGGGTTCGGTGAGCAGTGGGGAGAGCAGTGGGGGCAAGAAGAAGAAGAAGAAGAGGAAGAAGAAGAAGAGAAAGAGATCAGGAGGGCCTCACAGACGCACAAAGGAACGCATCAAAGAAATGCTAGTGAGGTCGAGATGGAACTGGAGAGGCAGCAGCATAGACCCCATGTTCAAGAAGCCTCGTCTCAGGGTGAAACGAGATCATGGAGGGAGTTCCAGCAGGGGAAGCAACAGCTCCTCATCAGAGGACTCAGCCGAGAGCGGAGGATTGTTCCAGGAGCCCAGTCAAGTGAGACGCATATCCCAGAAGTGCCCCCGAAGGTTTCTCCTCGGGGGGAGACGAAGTTCGACCCGTCATGATGAAGTATTACCGCCAACAGGTTGTCCAGAGCGGGGCAATGCCGAGCAAACCCATGAGGAGAGAGCTCCAAACGCTGGCAACCTGCCTAGACAGCTTGGTAGAGGGGAATGTGTTAGGGGCAATGGACATCTGCATGCAACGGATGAAGAGCCTAGAACTCATGGCTCAGGGGGGATCCCCCGAGACGGCCATGAAGGTTGCTGTCGGCAGGGGAGGGACACAATGCCGCCCAGGAACAACGGACATCAGAGCGCCTGGAGACCCAGCTGCGAGGAAGCGCGGGGGGGAATCGTTGGATGAGTCGTTGGGAACCCCCTAAAGGGGACCGGAAGGGGGATGGCAAAGGAAAAGGAAAGAAGGGCGAGGGAAAGGACAAGGGGAAGCGTTGGGAGGGGGGCAAGCCAGCAGCTCAAACTCAGGTAGTTGCCCCCTCCTAGAGCCTGCCGTAAAGTGTACCAGTGCATGCCCAATTTATGATTGTACTAGACCGCCGCAGCCTCGAATCCCTCCTTTGCCACCCCGTGCTAGGACTAATAACCGAGGGCTCTTAGTTGGAGAGTTAAGCGTTTTGGGATCACGACTCCTGGCCTGGGAGAAGCTGCAACAAATCAAGGATGCTGTTCACTCCAGCATACCCATCACGGGACGGGACCTGTTCCCGCTCCCTCTCCCAGACTGCCAGGAGCAGAAATGGGGTTCTTGGTGCCATGCCGGTGTGCATGCCCTGAACGTCATGACCGTGGGGTCACCAGAATCGCCCATGGGGGCTGGATCACCTGGACAAAGGAAACTGCTGTCTGAATTCGTCTCCGTGTTCTCTCAATTGCATGATTCCCGAGGATTCCATTGAACATTTTTGGAATTCCAAGAGCGTGAACGCATATGGTGAAGAAATCCACCATTGCAGGTCGGTGGGCTGGGCCAATCTACGTTCGAGCCTCCCGACTGCAGAGCAGGCAGGAGTGCTATCGCCGGAGATGGTAGCCACTGGGGGAGCACTAGATTTTCTGGAACACCCCACCAAGTATTTGTTGCCGTTGGATGAGAGGGTTAGCATGAAGACCCCTCGCGTTATGATCAAGGATGATGATTGGGACGAAGTGTCTCTAGGCTTGGTGAGACGAGGAATCTGCGAGGTTATTGCAGTGGAGGATGTTTTTCCATGTGCATGGATCTCCTTGTCGATCTGGGAGGACTCTTTGGGGTGCCTAAGCATGAGACCACTATGTTTTACATAGTTGGCCTAGGACCTCAATGGCGCCCGTTTTTGGCTTTCGGTAAGGAGGTTCCTGATCAGCTGAGGCCTCCGGGAGACAGCCGTCCCCACGTGCTTACCAGTCGTGTGCTGCCAATGGGGTTCATCAATAGCGTAGCAGTAGCTCAACACATCCACCGAGAGATAGTCAAGCGAGCTCTGTCCAAGGTAGGACCTGGTGCCGAGTGTGAGTTCAGGCGTGACTCGACTTTCCCTCAGTCTGAGGTTGGATACCGAGTTTACTTGGACAATTTTGACCTGTTAGAGAAAACTAACTCGTCAGCCGCAGAAGTCTTGCAGGGATCCAGAGCCCCCTCTTCGGATGCTCTTAGACGAGAGTACGAGAAGTTGAAAGTGCCAGCCAACCAGAAGAAGTCTGTCAGCCGAGCATCGACAGCTGAAGTGCAAGGTGCCCTGGTAGATGGAGTTAGGAATATAGCTTACCCGAAGCCTGAAAAGTTCGTCAGGTACCTCAGGGCAAGTTTCTTCTTGCTGTGTCAAACTGTCGCCAGCCTAAGCAGTTGCAAATTGCCTTGGGAGGGTTGGTGTACCTCTTTCAGTTCCGCCGTCCGCTGATGGCCAACCTTAATGAATGTTGGTCATTTCTGGTAGAGCTCGGGCGCCAGGATCCTTCGGGGACTGCCATGTTTCCAATACCCACTGAGGTTAAGAAAGAACTCTGGTTGAGCCTTAGTCTTGCCCCGCTGGCCTACATTTGCTTTGGAGCCGAGTTCAGCGAGGTTGTCACATGCTCGGACGCTTCCGAGCACGGAGGCGGGGTCTGCCAATCTGTTGGTCTTACTCCTATGGGGCAGCAGGCCGCATTTAAGACCGTAAGGGGGGAACAACCAGACCTCTTAGGCGATGACGGTGTGTTGGTCATCTCGCTGTTTGATGGGATTGGAGCATGTCGAGTAGCTCTTGAGCTCATTGAAGCCAATGTGTGTGGTTACATTGCCGTTGAATGTGCCGCACCAGCCCGGAGGGTCGTGGAACGCGCTTTCCCATCAGTCCTGTTTGAAGATGATGT